AAAATAAGGGGGTGGACATCCAAGGATAATCTATAATAAGATAGTGCTTATATAAAACAATTGTGTAGGTACGGAATTTCTAATATGGGGAAAAATAAAGAATTTTAGAGTAACTAAAGTTCTAAGCACTTGGGTAAAAAGAAAACGTACCTCAACTACGGGGCGAAACTCCTTGGTGTGCTCAGAGAAAAAGAAGAGAGATTTTCCAGGTGTTACATAACTCAAGTCATCGTATCACACAGATGCGACAACTCAAAGTCATCGCATCATAAGGATGCGATAACAATTAACAATTTTGATCAAAAACCTAGTTTTTACATTATGTTGATTATGTCACATTTTTCCTGGTATACACCTCTCCATGATATGCCACCCTTATATCAAAATACACATAATCTTGATATGTCACTCTTATCTCAAAATACACATCTCCTTGATATGACACCCTTATAACCAAAATACGTCTCTCCTTGATATGTCACCCTTATTCCAATCACTTGATATACTCATATCAAAATACCAACTCATGCTAAAAATAGCATAAACTCAATTTTAAAAGCTCTCACGTAAGGAATAATGCGGTTCTAATTTTAACACCATAAAAAGAAAGTTTGTAAAATAAACTTACCTTATGATCACAATAGATGAATATATGAAGATAAACAACAACAATTAATCCAGGACACGATTCACAGAAAGTTGTTTTTACTTGCTTCCTCTTCTCGGTTATGTTTTTTTTTTCTCGAGCTCAAAATACACACACACACACAGAAAGCTTCTTTGCTTTTTTGCTTCAAGACTCACCATCCCAATGAGATAATAGAAATGTGTCATAAAATTGCATATAAACTCATGAGGCGGTGGCTTATTAAAAGAATTTAAACATATAAACAATTTAACCACCTCAACTTCCACTCTTATTTAAAAACAACCCTGAACTTTATAATTGATTAATCGATTGTCACGTCTTCATGCAACATCAACACTTAATTGTGTTTTTTTATCGGCTGTCATACCTTGTGGTGCTTCTGAAATAGGTGTGTTTTCAACACCCCCCTGTGCGTAAGGACTCTATTCTTGATCTTATTGTAGATAAATCGTTCTGTTGGGTTTTGGCTAGGTGTAAGAGGAGTGAAAAAAGTCCAATTTGTGAGGAGATGTACGTTATCCTACTGATTGTGTCAGAACCTTGTAATGTCGTTGTTCTTTTGCTAGCAGCTTGCAAGCTTTTATGAGATCGTTGGGTTGGTGTTTCAAAAAAAGATCAAGTGATGAAAGCAGTGGATCATACATTGTGGTGCTTCCGGAATAGATGTGTTTTCACCTGTCACCCCCTGCGTGCGTGTGAGGACTCTATTCTTGATCTTCTTGTGGAGAAGTCGTTATAGTGAAAAAAATCCGATTGTGAGGAGATGTTATCCTACTGACTATGGCAGAACCTAGTAATGTCGTTGTTCTTTTGCTAGCGACTTGCTAGCTTTTATGAGATCATTGATTGCTGTTTAAAAAAACTTGCATACACCATCACATGTGATTATTGGGAAAGGATATTGGAGTAACATGTGGTAGTCTACATGATCTTTAGACAGTTTAATTTCACACCCACAAATCAATATTATGTGTTCTTGTACATGATCAAATGTAATTGGGTAGATGATGACAACATTGTTACCAAATCATGTTTACAATAAAATCTGATTGTCGATAACATTATAGTGAATACACAACAATTAATACTCGGTAAAAAAAGATGAAATTATTATCAATGCATTTTGGATTTATCACTAATTTGTAGCATATACGTAGGTAACTATCAACAGATTAGTGACAAATCATTTGTTGTCAATATATCAACATTTCATAATTTAGATAAAGTTCTAATTGTTGTCACAAAACCATTGAAAGTCGCTCAATAGTTAATGACAAATCATTTCGATCGGTGAATGTCACCTTTCTTGTAGTGTTATAAGCATACACACACATGTATATACATATGCAAATGTATGTATTGGTATACATACATACATACATAGATACATACATACATACATACATATACATAGGCATCAACTATATATGTGGAAAAAGAAAACCCATCTCTTGTGGTAACAGGTTTCTAGGGCTTCAATTTATTTTCTCATTGTTTTGGGGAGAAACCTCACAGCAGAAGGACGATCTCTCTTTGTATAGCAGAGGACCATCATTACACTAAAGTGGAGGATGCTTTAAGCTACTAGTATTAATTGTTATATATGTAGAACAAGTTCTTAGTTTTAAGAATGACCACACTTCTGTATATATATTTATGTATATATATATAGAGTGAGAGAGAGATCTAGGCGCCTCAGTTATCGTTGAGAAGGTGGAGACTCGCCAAGGAGAAAGGAGGTGAAGAACGCAAGTGACTCGCTCGGTTTGAAGATGGGGACTGCATGTCCAGCTCCTCTAAATGTTGCAAAAGTCAGCCCTTCATACTCTTGAAGCCAACCAGCAACCTAATTAGAAAAGATTTATGAACTAAACAACTGTCCATTTTAAAACTGAATGAGTACTATTTTCAGAAGTATGATCATCATAGATGTACAATTTATATAAATGGTGGCCAACCAAATTGTGTATGGTCGACATGCCATATTATGAAGAAATGAATATACAATATGAAAAGATGAGTGTAGGCACCCACTTATATATAATATGGCTATGGTTTCATTACAGACAGCACTTGATGGAGTGCAACTGAACAATGTGTTCAATTTCTTACCAAAAAAATGACATCCAAAAGGTTTAATCCTGTTAAAAAGAAAGCCTTTCATGGTTTGTTTAGGTTCAGAGAAAGGAAGAATCATATACACACACTACTACAACAAAATTGGGTTTATAGAACGCCCCCTATCTTTAAACGTCCCAATAGATCGCTTTATAGGGCCAAAATATAAAGCGTCTTATCTAAAGGTGTTGTAATAAGTTTATATGACGCTTTTGGACGTCTTAACAAGATTTTTAAGACATTTTTAATACAAAGTGTCGTATTAGCAACTATATAGGACCCTTTTGAGAAAATGTCCTATAAACTCAATTTCTTATAGGACATTTGTTTTTATAGAATAGTTTTTCAATTAGTGTCCTATAAAGTTGCTAATGGGACGTTTTACATTAAAAGTGTCCTAAAAAACTTATTACGACGTCAAAAAACGTCATATAAACTTATTATAATGTCTTTAGATAGGACGCTTTATTTTTTTTGGTCATATAAAAAAGTCTATTAGGACGATTAAAAATTAGGACTGTCCTATAAACCCGATTTTGTTGTAGTGCACATTAAATTTAAGCAAAAGCACCACATATATGCAATAATTTTTAATGGTTTTATATTATCGTGTTTACTTTTAGAAGTTAACTTATGGAATTAAGTTTCCAATTGATTACCATTTGGCACATATCATCAATTAATCTTGCAAATATTAGCTTTCCTTCCACATGTTCCTCTTGCAGATAGCTTTTTCTGATAATTTAATTCAGGAATTGAACCCAATTTGGTATGAATGGTTCTAGGAAATTGATAAAATGGTCGTTTTTGATAAATTTTATTTCAGAAATTGCACCAAATTTTATAGGAAATTTCCAGGATGTTGATGAAGTACACCTCTTTTCCCATAAATTTTATGGAGATAAGCCTTGGTTATAATCAGAAGAAGCAAAAGGTTTCCATCGATAGGCGACGTTAGATAAAGTTTTAGTAAGTTGTGCTTACAAACAATGTATTTGTAATTTTGAATTTTAAGTAATATGCATTAATAAGTACTTCATGCATAAAAAAAATGGTTTTTAAGAGTTTTTCTAAGATGGTATAAGTATATATGTAAATGTTGGGCAAGAATTAATAGGATTACCTGCTTCTGGTGATACCAGGGCCTCCATGCCCGAGTAATCGGCAGTCCTAGAGAGCTTAAACTGTATCTTGTGGATAACACAGGGACTCTTCCATCAGTATCTCCACTATTGCAACCAAAAACAATATCACTCTCAACAAACTTTTTGCAGATTTTTTTTAGAGAATACAGCACAACAAAATGGGTTTTAAAGGACATCAAAAAAAAAATTAAATGTCCTTATGGACCACTTTATAGTACTTCATTACAGGACCAAAAAATAAAGTGTCACATCTAAACGCGTTGTAATAAGTTTATAGAACACCTTTAAGCGTATTAACAAGTTGTTTTTTGGGACGCTTTTAATACAAAAGCGTTCCATTAGCAATTTTATAATACACTATTTGAAAAATATCCTATAAAAAGATGAAAGTGTCCTATAAAATTGATGATCTGACGCTTTGTATTAAAAGCGTCCTAATATATACTTATTACAACGTATTTTTAGATAAGACACTTTAATTTTTTATCATATAAAGTGATCTATTAAGACGTTTAGAAATTAATGGTGTCCTATCAATCCAATATTGTGTAGCCATATATACATATTGCTGATGCATACCTGTATACCCATATTCTAAGTTTTGCATCAATGAGTTTGTTGTATATAGGAATAACAGAAACTTTTGATTGTTTCCAGCCATTGAATACATCCATACTGCAGCAAACTTTGTAAGTTAATATCATAAAAGTGGCATATATATATATATATATATATATATATTTGTGGTTATGTCATTAAGCTGAAATGAGAGTTGTTTGTTTTTCGTTACTTGCAAATGCTCCAGTTCTTGAGTTGACGACCATCAGCAACATGCAGAGCCTTCTGAACCTCGGGTTTATTATAATAGCTTTTTGCGTAGTCATCAAGGCAAGGATCATAACCACCCATTATGCGAGGCATCTAAACGAACATCATCAACATTTTTGTTTAGTTATATACAATTAAATATTCGTATTTGTTTTCTACAGTTACTAATGCTTATTTATAAAAGCCCATTGGCTTACCAGGGGAAGCAGTTTAATAAATTAGTGGGATGTCCAATAATTTGTTGTTCTAGAATATGTATTACCCACTTAATCTATCAGTTACAGACAAATCACTACAACGGTATTGATTTTATATCACTACAATAAAATTGGGTTTATAGGACACCAAAGATGTACAAGTGTCCCAATAGACTCTTTTATAGGACATAAATATATAGGACCATACGTTAAAGTGTCATTTAAAGGTGTTGCAATAGTTTTATATAATGTTTTTTGACGTCTTAACAAGTCTTTTAGGACACTTTTAAAATAACACGTCGTATTGATTATTTTATAGGACGCTTTTGAGAAATGTCCTATAAACGCATCTTTTTTTATAGGACACTTGTTCTTATAAGACATTTTTTAATAGTGTCTTATAAAATAGCTAATACGGAAATTTATTTTAGAAGTGCCTTTAAAAATTTGTTAAGATGTCCAAAAAGCGTCCTATAAACTTTTTGCAACACCTTCACATAAGATACTTTAACGTTTAGTCCTATAAACTTGTGTCTTGTATACTTGTGTCCTATAAAATAGTATATTAGGACCTTATACAATTTTGGGGTCCTATAAACCCTATTTGTTGTAGTATAGGACTTAAGTTTATAGGATCAAACAAAAAAGCATCATATCACAAAAGGTGTTACAATAGGTTTATGGATATTTTTAGGCATTTTAACAAGTTTTTTAGGACGCTTTTAAAATAAAGTTGTCGTATTAACTAACTTTATATGATATTATAAAAAAAGTGTCCCATAACCACAAGTGTTCCATAAGAAGATGGGTTAAAATAGCTAATAGGACATTTTATTTTAAAAGCGTCATAAAAAAACTTGTTAAAAAACCTAAAAACATCCTATAAACCTGTTGTAACGCTTTTAAATATAGTACTTTATAGTTTGATCCTATAAATTCTATTAAGTATCTTATTAGGGCACTTGGAAAATCTAGTCGACCTATAAAGCCATGCAATTTTTTTTATGGTGCATTCATTTTTATTAACCAGCTTAGATAATAATTGAGCATATATATATATATATATATATGGAAATGTTTACTAATTACCTACCATGTTGGATGTGGTCTTCTTGAAAACAACTTCCATTGCTTTATTTTCTGCAAATGCTGAATTACTAAAACAGACAGATGTGTAGAGGCTATATATGTCTATCTCTTTATATTGTCTCAGAACTTCATCAACAGCTTGGCTGCAGTCTTCATTGCTCCAGGTATTGTTACTGTTGAAGTCACAGGAGTCTCTTACAGTTTTATGAGTTTCATCTGATACCACAGCATGGCTCCAAGCATAGTCAATTAAACCTCTCCAATCCTCAGCATCACTTGTTTCAGGGTTACCCAGCTGCAGTTTAAGCAATTTTAGTTCATTAGACTACACTACAACAAAACTAAGTTTATAGGATGCCACCAATTTCAAAGCGTCTTAATAGATGCTTTATAAAACTCAATTTATAGGACCAAAACATAATTAAAAGTGTCCTAAAAAACTTGTTAAGACGTTCAAAAACGTCCTATGAACTTATTACAACGCCTTCAGATAAAACTCTTTAGTTTTTTTGTTCCTATAAAGCAGTCAATTTCTATTAGGACCCTTTGAAATTGATGGCGTCCTATAAATCCGATTTTATTGTAGTACTTGCATTACGTTAGAAAAAGATCAAGAATTATTATTTATCGTTTTAACAGTTTTCATGTAGCTTCAAGACATACCAATATGCCTTTCAGATTAATGAACAGGAGAGGGTCCTTGTTTTTATCCTGAATAAGACCTGCCAGTTCTGGAACATATTTTCCTACATAAAATAAGTAAAAAATATGACATTGTTTGAGAGTTTCTAAATAAAACTAACTTTGTGAAACATGTCATCATATATATATATATATATATATGTATGTATGTATGTATATATATATATATATACCTGCATAGCTCTCTCCAGCAATATAGAACATTTTATTCTTATACGAAGGAAACTTCAGGAACCAGTTATGCAGAAACGCATATGCATCGTTAGCTGATACAATATTCCACAAAACAAGTCAGTGGGTATATATATATATGATTATATTTGGATTACAATATATAATTAGGAATGCATTAGCATAGGTGTGATACATTGATCCATATATATGACTCACCAGTGAGGTCATCTCCAAGATTATCATAATCACTAGTTGTGTTTGAGTATGAAAATCCAACTCCAACAGGAGATTCCAAGAACAGCATATTAGCTTCTGCAGTAGCACTTTGTAAATCTCAATCGATTCATCAGACCCAATAATATTGTATATATTTAGAAAGGATGCAACTAAAAAAATCATGTTAAAATACATATGGTAACTAGAGGGGCATTGCCCCCATGAAGCTATCCATATCTGATTTTCATTTGGTGGATGTTTCTATAAGTTGAAAGAGTGGAGATGGAGTATGTGAGGAGCCAAGAGTACAAGTATTGTATTATGCAAGGAGCTAGAAGGGTACAAGTATTGTATGCACAAGTTAAATCTCTTTGCTGTCAAATACAATATACAAATTTTAGTTTTTAAAACATTGAGCAAAATGTTACATCAAATACAATATCGTTGTAATTGTCGTTTTAATTAACATTTATTTTTTATTGATGCTTGGTGCTCCTCCCTAACCGTTAATCCTTGACCCGCCATAACATGTGTAGTGTGGTATGACTTGTAATGGGGCATACGGTTCGCCAAAAGATAACACGAACACGAGTGTAGCAAAAGTACATATCCATGCATGTAGTGAGCTGTGTGAATGATAATGTGGATTATTATGATCTATAGGGATGATTCCTCCATACATGTACACAACATGAATGAAGCAAATATACAAACACCATAGTGGATAGTATAATAAATGAGGATATTAGGAAGGTTGTGGTAGCTCCAACAGGATAGAACTTGATACAATAAGGTTTGAGATATGGTATGTTCATATGGAGTGCAGATCATTACATGCAGGCGAGTAGGAATATCGTAAGGATGTCATTAGGCGAAGGACAGAATAAGATGCTAGACTATAATTAGACAAGAAAAATCTGAATGGGAGAATATTTGCAAGGAAGTAGCTGTTCTGGAATTGTGTGGGATGATGTAATTCATGTTCAGGAGCTATATATGTCTTAACTATATATTTGGTTTTCATTTTCAGTCCAATTAAACCAATTACCATCAGATAAAAGCATAAGTTCTTTACGGTTTCATGAGTTTGCTATGGTGAATGAATGATGTTTTGTATATTGAAAGTTGTATCGGTTGCACTATGACGCATATATAAGATGTCTGAATGATACCTCTATTCCATGAGTACGGATTCAGTTGAAGACCTTTTCCATCTGTGCTCACAATGAATGGTCCAATCTCCTGTGTAGCTCCATATCCCACTGAAGAACACCCAGGACCTGAAACACATAGCCGCTTGTCACCATAATGGACGTCAAGACTCCTGGATCATTGTCAAAACCAATTAATTGTTTGCTAAGTGGGTGAATTATGTAAGGATAAGGATTGATGTCCACTCAGCACTACCGACTAAAACCACCATGAGAAGTTTGTCTTACCTAAATTTACTTTTAAATTAGTTGTTAAACATGAATATTTTGTTTGGTAGCATTTAGTAAAAACAAAGCAGCTGTATATGTACATATGCGATATGAACTCAAGTCCCTCTCCTTAATGCTTAATTTACCTCCATTAAGCCACAGCACCAAGGGCTTCTCCTCTGGGAGAGTCCAAGCTTCATAGAACCAGTAAAATAGCGCCCTTCCACTGTTCTCATTTACGGTCACATATCCAGCATAGTGTCGGAAGTCGACATTAGGCTGACCAGGGAGGTTTATCACAAGATCTTCATTATTCTGCAAGCTTATTTTTTTTTCGTTGGACCATTGTCCATGCCTTGCAACTACAAAGATTGGATTAGATAACAATACAACAATAGCTACATTGAAAAGAGGTACCAATTTTAGTGTGAAAGCCATATGAAGTACTGAACAAGTTCAAATACAGCTTAATTTGTCAAAGGACACAGAGACCCACATGCCTATTTATACTTGTTGAGACATTACCAGCACCCACTAATTAAAGCACAGATGATAAAGTTAATAATCAGATATTAGTGAAAAGTGTTACGTGGCAAATTGTCTTTATTGACAAGGAATTTCATGACATTTGACGTAAAGATTCTTTTGCATAAGCCCTTCTGTGCTGGTTCCATTTAGTTGTGTAGATTGTTGGATCACAGTCAGGGGAAATAATATTTATTGCAAACTTTCAGCACAAGGCCTTCTCTTGGAAATTTATCTAAAATTACCTGGAGAAGAATATGTGGCCCAGTATCAACAGTCTTTTCCAATTTCAAAAGGGTATTAATTTGTATATTTTTGTATTGTTACCATTCTCTATCTACATACACAACCTACTGGCTATTATAAAGGTCATTAACTTTTCTCCAAAATCATTTTCTCTTTGACACTGTCCAGGTGGGAGGGTGGAGGTGGTGGTGGGTGGGTTTGGTGAAATGAGAAACATGTTGTATTTGATCAATGCTGACTAAGGCATGCATACATGGAACAAGAAGCTACTTAAATCAAAAGCATGATTATTATTATGATTTATTGGGTAAAGTTTGCTATTGGAATTTCCCTGTCCTGTGTCATATAACAGAACTGAGGTTTCATCATTAAAATTAGGCCACAACTCCTCTTCCTTCCATGGCCTAACTAACCTGCCATATGAAAAGCAATGTTATAAACAAATTAAAGTCACTTTGATCTCCTTAATTAGTTCTGTTCTGTGATCACCATGCATGAGATGTATACTATCTTAACAGGACTGGCGCGATAAACAATGTAATATTGCAAGTTACCCAAGAAGTAATTTCACATATGAATGTACAATGCTCTATAAATTCTTTGGTATGAATAACCTTGATTTGTTACACCAGCAATGGTTGTATGGATTTCTTGATATTAAGTATCAACCCATGAATCAGCTTTTTCAATGTTAACTTAGCATGGTATTGAAGTTGTTGCTCCGGTCAGTTATACCGGGTCAAGTCTACCTGTCATATTCATTTTCCTAGTGCACTTTTTGAAATGCAATATTTGTCTGTGCATATAGAAGGATCCACATTGTTTACCCACTTAATTAACCAACTGGGGTTGCAAAAAAGTTCATATGACTGTTAATACGGATTGTTAGGCCTCCCTTCAAAATCATATCAGCTTGTAGCTTGATAATACAGAAACTACAATGATTAAATTCTTAAAGTCTTTTCTAATTAGCAATGGCACTCAGGCAAGGTCAGACAAGAGTATTTGGAAACTATACAAAATGAAGAGACTACAGTATCCATTAGCTTGCTTGTGGTGATTATCGTTTTATGGATCGACTCAGTTCTGTTGAGTGCCATAGAAAAGATGTACCATGAAATATAATCATCAAAGGGAAGAAATTAAGAAGTTATGTGGCGAATCTTGTAGGTTATCACCGTTTACTCTGAAGCTTAGGTCAACAAATTAAGGATATGACAACCAGGTTCACTTAATTGAATTATGACTTGGATTCCATGTTTACTTGGTTGAACAGTGAGATGGAAATCATTTTCTTAATTCTCATTTCTTGTCTTATTTTGCATTTTGAAACATTCAACTTGAAAACTTGTACATCCCGTTGTTTGGACATCATGATAAAACGGATTCTTCGTCCTTGTGAAGGTTAATCTTGGATATCTAGACTCAAATCCATGACCTGCCCATCTAGATATTATGACTAGAATCTATAATACTAATCTATACATCTGATTTATAGGGTTACCTGTTTTTAAATATTAATATTTCATCTGCAATATAAATTAGCCACTAGTAAAATGTAGTGGAAATGTTAGGAAAGTGAAGTGTGAATCTATTCAAGGGTAATGATGTTCAGGGTCATAAACAATTGTTTAATCTCCATTGTGTGTCTTGTGGGAATTATGGAAATTCCATCAAACTTCATGAAGTTGACATGTTGCACTTCCTGGTTATTTTAAATTCAAACACTGATGCATATGGATATGGCACAAGCTAGGGAAGCATGAAGATGTTGGGACCATTTATCTTTTAAATAGTTTGGTAACTCAGGTGTTATATCATCTAACATTCAAGTATTGATTAGAAATTCTAAATGCATCACCAAAAGCAAAACAGATGTAGAACTTGTTGTTGGTTTTTTGCAAACCAATAGTGGCTTTAAGGTTTCACACTATTCCTGATAGAAGACATACATATAGTTGCTAGCATGTCTCTGACTCTAAATCTTTTTTAATCTCCAACTTGAAGTTCCAATATTAACAAACACTACAACAAAATCAGGTTTTTATAGGTTACTCTCAATTTCTAAGCATCCTAATAGACCAATCTTTATAGGACTTGGTTTATAGGACCAAAAAAATAAAATGTCCTATCTAAAGGTGTTGTAATAAGTTTATATGACGTTTTTTTGATGACATAATAAGTTTTTTATGACACTTTTAATATAAAGCGTCCCATTAGCAACTTTATAGGACACTATTTGAAAAACTGTCCTATAAAAACAAGCGTCTTTTAAAAAATTGAGTTTATACAACACTTTCTCAAAAGTGTCCTATAAAGTTGCTAATGTGACACTTTTTATTAAAAATGTCCTAAAAAACTTGTTAAGACGTCCAAAAACGTCCTATAAATTTATTACAACACCTTTAGATATGATGTTTTATATTTTGGTCCTATAAGTTAAGTCCTGTAAAGCGGTCTATTAGGACGCTTAGAGATTGAAGGTGTCCTATAAACCCAATTTTGTTGTAGTGAAAATTGCAGAAGGAAACGCATAGACAACAACTTTCCGGTCGTTTCAACTAAATTATAACGTTGACGAATTTTATTGATTAAGAAAATTAGCGTTACACACACAATTTGTAAATATAATTTGGTCTACCTCAATTCGAGTAGCTAGGCATGTTTTTAAGTTTAGTAGTTGACATCCACAGAGAGTGCAACCAAGTGCAGCATGCAAATTTGTTGATCTCAACCACAGATGTTGGCATCAGAATAAAACTACAGTTACTTAAAATATGCACAGTGGATACCTAAGAAAATTTGAGTAAAAATCGTCATTTTTTCCAATCATTTTGGAGATGGTTTAATTAATCAACCATTCTACTTGCTATGGCATCTACAGACCACCTGGAGTTCCCAATTTTCATTAAGGTTAATTAGCATAGTTAAGTTTAACTTGGAGCATCCATTGCAACCATCTATGTGTACCGAAAACAACGTCCCCCCAAGTCCAACTTAACTTTCTTAGCCAAAAACTGAAGGTGGTTGTGATCCCTCGCCCTGAGAGCCTTTGTATTAACCATATATATATCCAAAATGCATTCATAAGAAATATATCTTTACATATCTTTATTTATCCTCACACCACGGGCAAAACATGAATGTTGACATTGGAAGTGGAAGGCAGGCGTTTAGTGAAAATTTCGGCATATTGAGATGATATATGGAACATCTAAGACACGAACTTGGCCAATTGCGATCTTCTCGTGAAAAAAGTGGATGTCCATCTCAATATACTTAGTAAGGTGATGCCTCACGAGATTGCATGAGAGAAAACATGCACTAACATAGTCGTCATGTGCCTTTCCAGGTTGGGAGATGTAGGTCAAGGAGCAAGTTCTGTATCCAAGAGGTCTCCACAATAGCATCGGTGACACTTAGCTTCAGCACCAGAACCAGAGAGTTTTGGGTGATCATCAAATCAAATTATCCCCCAAGAAAACACAATACTCCCTTTCGACTGACGAATAATTGGATGCCCACTACTAAACAAAGGGTTGTCACTCAGGAAAATTACCCGCTGATGATTTTGTGATAAAACAAAGCTTCACATGATTTCTGTCGGGACAAGACAAATCGTTGACAATCCATATGCGATTTAGAACTTCACCACATGATCATTAACGGTAACAAAAACTTTTGAATTGAAAAAATAAGAATCCATCTTAATTACCTAAGGATCACCACAAGTATTTTACTTTTATATTTTCCATTCTTTATTGGAATCTTCCATAATCGGTCGGTGATCCTTCAGTGGATTGAGATTTTTTTAGTGAATTAAAAACTTCTACTTTTTTTTTCAGGCAATGGAATGTGGTAACAGGGATAGAGGTAACCCTAACGGACGGACTCCCAACTTCCAGGGAGTAGGGGCGGCAACAATATTGGTGGGCGCCCTGACCCACACACCGATAAGAGTGATGAGTATATGGTTGCCAACGTATAAGATCTAGGCTCGAGAATATCTAGACAATTGATGAATCGGGATATTTGGAATAGAGAGACTCGAATCTCGATCATCACTAGATGAGTCTTGAGTTTAAAACTAGTTGTGATCTGAATAGGAGGGATGTTGTTAACCATAATCTGAGCTTCTTGAGACAAAGGTATACTCTTTGAAGGAGGTTGAGATAAGTTTTGCTCTTCTCTTACAGATGATGAGAATGACAAGGCAATGATCTCCGGAAATGTGGCCAATGTGGCACTAGTTGATTGAGCCTGTATACCAATATCATTAATTGCCAAGGAAGCCCGTAAACCATGGATATCTTGCAAAAGAGCCATTAGATAAGTATTATCCTCCCCCTTAGATGACTCTATGGGTTCATCTGATTGTGCTGATGAATGTGATGAGGCTATTGGAATAGTGATCAAGGTGGTTTGTATCTGGGTGGATTTGTGTTCACACCACTAGCCAAAAAGGATGTAGTGATGGATTTGATGGGTTCTTCGTTTTGTACAACAATACCCTTTTGGGATGGTACTGAGAAGTTGGTTGGGTTATCGGATGCCAAGGACTCGGATCGAAATTCAATATCCATAAACTGTTGAGAGTCTTTGGACAGTGATATGGTTTTAGTCCTTTGAGATGACTGAGTCTTCTTTGAAGATTCCAATTTGGCTAA